GGGGGGCGCCTGCCTTTAATGTCTAGGGGAGCAGTATAAAAGGACTTATCTGACCCCCACTCCCCCAGCAGCTGGCCCTCTCCTCCATTCCCCATGCTCCAGCTTGTGGACTGTCCCTGGGAATCCACATACAACGCAGGGATAAGGGCCCTGCGTTAGGTGTGATGACATCAGCGGGCCATCGATCATTGGAGCGGAGGGAGGATGCCGGTCTTGGAGATTGCAGGGATCAGGGAAGTAAAAGTCCTTCTTTCAGATCCTCTAGACATAAAGGAGCATTTAGGGTCCATTCCCACCAGGGCCGTGATTAATACACAGTACCACACAATGCCCCTACCATGCATTAACACTGGGGTAGGTGCAATGCATTACCATTCAAATTTTTTTCCCAACTGCACCGCACAGTGTTGCAGTAGTGCGTATTGCGGTGCAGTCGATTGCACTGCAGGCAGGAGGTTAACCTTTTTGTATCAGTACTGCTTGGACTGAGAAGAAGGGGGGTAATAAACCCCCAGAAGTCTGTCCTAAAAATGGAACTGTTAGATAATAAAGCATCAGGGACACTTATCCGATCCTACAATAGGCGAGGAGTATCTGGCCCACGTACAGCTCACCCGACATAAACAAGACACAAGAAGGGGAATTTATCCATACTGGAGCAGACAGAATGTGGAGCAGTTGCCCATGGCAACCAATCAGCATCCACCTTTCATTTTCAAACCTTAACTGAAGAGAGAAGCTGATTGGTTGCCATAGGCAACTGCTTCAGTTTTGATAAATTCCCCCCCCCCCAAGAAGTTTTCACTTGTCAATGCAGCTACATCATTCTCCAGCAGACTCCTGAAATCATCAGATCACACGGTTGTTATAATAATCATCGGATACAAGGCATGGAAGAACAACCAGGATTAGAAAAAAGACAAAACACAACACGCTCAGTCACCTCTATGTGTGCTGAGTGCTCCATGCTGGGACTTGTAGTGCCACAAGAAGAAGCAACTCACACAAGGCAGCTGGGACATGTAAACACGGGATGGATTGAACTCTTTATCGAATCAAACACACAAATGAGATATATAACGGCCAGCACACACCCTGCACATCAGATGACAAGGAGCTCTGCACAACCAAACACTGATAAACACAAGTCTATGGCAGGACCGTTATTTAATGTGTCACCCCCGGCAATAGCAGCCAGCACTTACCGCTGACAGCTCGGTCAGCCGGTCCCTCATGCCCGTACGAGCTGTTACCTCCCCAGAGTCAAGGAGCGGCTTTCCCGGTGTCTGTCCAGAGGGTTTCCGCCTCCTGCACTCCGCCCGGTACCACAGCAACCACGGCTGCTGGGAGCAGAAGCAACAGCAGGAGAGGGAGAGCCGCGGGAGTGCGCATGCGCGCTTTCCGGGGGCCGGGCAATAGGTGGGCGTGGCCGGGCCGCTCTCCGAGCTGGGAACATCTGGGAGAGCGTTCCATGTGGTTGCGCTCCGAGCCTCGTTCCGCTGCAGCTCCCGAAGGAATGGCTCATGTCCTGTTACATGGCAATTTTCCCCCCACAATAGAACGTATTGTATTTTGTACATACCACTAAACTCTACAGGTCTTTCTGGGAGTGTACGTCAAGAAAAAAACTTTTCTTTTGTACTTTGGGATAGTGTCCTTTTTTATGTGTTATTTAACAATTTCCACCATACAATTAACAAAACATCATACAATTGTTTAGAATGTGCTAGGGTTGCCACCTGTCCAGGATTCACCCGAACAGTCCGGGTTTTGAATGCTGTGTCCAGGTTTCATGGCAGAAGAAACCCGGGCACAAGATGTCAGGCAGACAGGGGCAACCAAAATTAAGATAGGGGCTACTGCCCCCCCCCCCCCCCCCCCC